ATGCGCAGCAGAGGGGAAGCTTGTTTTTTGCGGCCATGGTTTTGTTGGCGGTGTTCCCGGAAATGTGTTCTGGTGGAATTCGACAACATCGCGACACTAAAGCAAAGTTCAACAAGGAAGCGGATCTCGAAAGACCAGACATTAACTTTAAAGCAGACGATGGACGAGAACTCGAACCGAGTGAAGCTTTCAACGAAGAGTCTTACAACGCCTTGACACAGGAATACGATGCGTTGTACGATTTTATTGGTGAGATTTTTTGAATAGCCTTATATTTAGGTGAGTTATTCATGACGCAATCTTTACGATCTGAGAAGAAAAATATCGATCATGGCGCGTATTTGAATCAAGCACGTCATACTGGCAAAAGAAAGGTTTATCTTTTTTTCGAATTGTTACAAAAAGGTTGTATATACAATATATGGAATCGGATTCTTGTAATTCTTTGCAAGTCTTATCTCATAGACAAAAGCTCGGAATCATGGTCTGAATCAAGTGTGAAAACGGACCATCGCTCGGCGAGAGCGATTATTCTCGCTGTCAGCAAATTTTCCCTGAATGATCTGTTTTTTTTCTTTTCATACAGTGACTTGCCTGTTGTAATATTACTATCAAGGTTAATATCATTCGAGTAAAAAGAAGAAATTACTGTATCTTGTGTTATCGCAATGTATATTTAAAAATGAAATTTATTTAACTAGCCACACGTGGATCCTCTGCGCGTGTATCGTACCGGGAGATGAAAGGCATCATAACTCTGTTGCTGTGCTTTCTTTTTCACCACCCAGCAGATAATTTGAGCGTCAGCTGATGCATCGATGATGGTTAGTTGGCGCATCAAAGTACGTGCATGCATGCTGATGCTCTCTCATGATTTTTCTTGATGTATCAGAAGTGCATCAAGCTGACGGTCTTGATCTACTATTTTTGAACTACTGTACTTACACTCAAATAACCCACTGGGCATAGTATTGCATGATGGAGAATTTTTACTCGTTTTTATCGGCGGTGAAGTGAATGTGAAGTAACTGTTGCTAAATATGTCTTAATCCTTCTATATACTGTAGCTAGCATTGAAACGTTTCTGAAGGAAATTACTCGCCAATTCCTGAACATAATCGCATAAACTACAATAATATTCAATTTTTCTAGAAATAATTGAATTTTCGGAAGCTCAATAAGATAATTACTTACCAGACATATTATTTCGAACTTACAAAGTGAGAATCTTGAATTACCTTGTAAACAGTATTGCAATTTGTTAAGGAGATAATTCTGCCGGCGACTCATGAATGAATAGAATCAACGAACTCCTCTGATTTTGAAATTGGAAATACTGTAGATTATAATCTTCTCTTATGTTCGTTGAAGTTTTTATTTGTAATCCAAACAAATTGAGTTTTTTTTAATTATGATATATACATCAGCCGTGAAAAATAATTTCAAAGATTCCGATCTCTCCATAGAAAAAAAGTATATCGTCTTGAACTTTCGGAAGAAATAATTTAGATACTAACTGTACGTTAGAAATAGTTTTTTCCATTATATAAGTCGCGTCCAGTTGAGTGATGAGCTCTCAACTTCAAAAAAGTTAAAATGCCATGCTTTAAAGGGTATGCTGTTGGAAAAAATGTGAACATTTTTATTCAAGGTTTGAATTAAAGCTACTGGAATTTTCTGTAAAAAGTCAGGGCTTCTTGAATTTCAAACTTTTTCCGGTTTTCTCAGGGGCTTAAATAGTAGTGCGCATCAGAATTCGCGTCATCTCAGATGGGATAATATACCGTATCCGAGATATTCGTGCTGGGTATTACGCAGATTTTTTTTTTTCCAACAAAGGCGGTTTGGTGCTTGTCGCTGGCTCGGATGAACTGGAAGGTTTCATTTTGGCGTGTCACAAAAATAACTCGTCGGATTGTGGTTTCATCATGGACAATAACGAAGATTGGGTCTCCAAAGCCGGGGATGGGATATGTCTTCGTC